CTACCTTACTTGATTTCCTGTCATCCTTTGAGACAGTTTAATGTCTGTCTCCTTCTGCTAAAAAGAGGGCAGGTGTTTCTGTGTTATGTTCACATCTGTACTTCCAGCATCTAGTACACACTTGGCCTACCACACATAGATGCTCAAAAAATATTTACAGAAAGTAACAAATGAAATTATGAACTTGTTCTTCTGTACTAAATTAAGCATAAGTTTTTTTGTTTTTTGTTTTAATACATTTTATTGATTTTTTTTACAGAGAAGAAGAGAGAGAGATAGACAGTTAGAAACATCAATGACAGAGAATCATCCATCAGCTGCCCACAACCAAGGCACAGGCCTTTGACCAGAATCGAACCTGGGACTCTCCAGTCCACAGGACAACACTCAATCTACTGAGCCAAATCGGTTTTGGCTAAGCATAAGTTTTAAAACTTATTTCCACATTATTAAAAACCAAAGAACTCTAGATTTGCATTGTGGAATCCTGGTCATTACTTAGGTCTAACCCTTCATTTTATAGATAATGAAAACTGATGCAGAAACAGTGTGAGGTAGTAGCAACAGCATAAAATTTGATATCAAAGAACCTGAAATCCAAATGAAAGCCTGTGTACAAGCAACTTAGCCCCTCTTAACTTTCAATTTCCTCATCTGTAAAATGAGGATGCCTTCTACCTCACGGCGATGGTTAAGGATGACTAAGGATAAAACAAAATAACATCTGGAAAATATATAAAGTGCTACTATACAAGTGGCATTTATCACTAGGTTATTTTAACCTGCCCCAAGTCACAAGAGCTGGTTAATGGCACAATTAGAATAAGAATTCAAGTTTCCGAACTCTAGTCCAATGCATCTTATATCATGAAACTAGGCTTCTGATTCCCCTATTCAGGGCCTACTTATTCTCTCACCTAGTTCAAGGCCTCTTACTTAACATGATATAGTTGGGAATCACTTCTAAAATTTGATGAGAGCGATAGTCCCTCTCGTCCAGCAAAGTGCATATGTATACACCAACATTAAACTCCTACAGCCCATCCACAGGCCCCAGGATTGGGAACCACTGATATACTGATGTACCCTCAGCAATTTTTATTTCTTACTTTCCTAAATAATTAATGCCTTGGTGGTCTTAACTAAGAGGCTGGATCCAAGGAAACACCAAAGGTAGAGTTCAGGAATCTGAATTAAAGGTACTGCCCCCAAATCATCATGCTGATTACTGAGGTCTTTAATTAGCCACATACAATCACAACCGGAAAGGAGCTACAAAGAAGGCAATGGTTTCAGTACTCAAAAGTAGGAAGCTCAGGGAAAAAAGCAGTAGACAGGACTAATAGATTCTTTATATCATGCTGCTATACTATATAGAAACCATTCAAATAATTTTACATGACCATTTTCAAATAGTCACCTAAAGACATCAAGTTCTCAAATTCTTTAGAGAAAACATGCAGAAATGTTTGTGACAAAATTTCTGTTCTCAACCCCACACCCATCATGACTAACTCCAAACCAGATTATCTAAAATGATTCTATCTTCCTCTACTTTACCTCGGTCAAGTAACATACTATATTCACTGTAAAAATAATTTGGCTAGGAAAAAGAACAATCAGTATGAAATCTATGGGCAGATCAATCAATACCAACTACTGAATACAGTGCCATTAATCCACTGTTGTCCAGTTATACCTCAATAGCCTTATCTGAAAAATAAAAAGAACACCCAATCTATGGTAGAAATACATTGTGAGAATATTTGGTAATCTCTTAATTTGTTAACAATTAATAGCTGTTATCCCTGAGTGGTGGGTCCCAATGTTAACAGCTAACAACTTTTATCTTTGAGTGGTGGGATTATGGTGACTTTCATTCTCTTACCTATATTTTGCTTTAATTTTTTAAGTTTTATGCAATGTTTATTTTTAAAACCAGAAATTATGAACAACTTACAGCATTATCTAAGATAAGGAATGTCCAGCCCATGGGCCATATGAGGCCTGAGAACTCCTTTGGTATTCTCAGGCCTCATATTAGGGGTGAGTTAATTAAATGTTTGACCAAATATAGTAGGCTAATTTTTAAGTTGATAATTTTGTATGTCCTGCAAATGATGTTATAAATATGGCCCTTGGAAGAGAAGAGGTTCCCCACTCCTGACCTATACATTCAGATTTTTTATCTGATGTTTAGAGAATACCAATTTGGGGGGTGGGCTACAACATAAGACCTTAAACATATCCCTAAGAAGTATACTGACTCTTCTGAAGAAATCCTATACATTCAAGGCGAAGAGAGAACAAAGGTATGTGTTTTTACATGCAAAAATAATATATGTGCTTTGAGGACCAGTTCTATAAGTAGGAGGTCTTGACCTTTGGCAGGATTGCATCATGAACTTTACAACCCTTCACTCTCTAAAAGATTGCTTCACTTTAAATAGAAGCCAAATCCTTGAGGATTCTACTTCCTACATTTTTTAAAAAATCCATGGATTCAGCTTGGTAGTCCAGTGTAAAAAATGAGATTTTTCCCACAGGTGAAAACTGGCTACCTAAAATCTGATATACAACTTCTACCACTTGGTATTATTAATAAATTCTATCTTCTAAGATGGCCATAAATTAAGATTGTAGGGCTTTTTTAGCTGGCCTAAGAAGATACAACTCAGCATTAGAACTGTTTTGGGATTTTTTAAAGAGTCTTCCACTGCATCATAAACTCTAACCAAGAAATTGTTTCTCAAACTGTCAAGGACAATAATCTATTTGATTAAAACATCACCTAAGCAAAATAAAAATAAATTTACTTAGAGAATAAAAACTGATATTGTTTCTGAAGAGCTCTGCACTATCATTGAGTTTAATTTATTAGAAGCCTAAAATAAATTTAAAATGTTTAATTTCTAATAACTACTGAAATTTTTAAGTTAAATTTCACATTAAGCATTTCAAAATACACTTTACATGAGAAATGAGAAAAATTATACAAGAACTGCAAAGTAAAAGTGCCACTATCACTTGTTATCCATCTACTGAACATCTCAAAATAAAAACAGGTATGAGTAGCTACCAAAATGGAGTCCAAATATTCATTCGTGTGACATGTATTTCAAATAGCATACACTTTACCAACAAAAAAGTGTCACTGCCCAGAAACAGACATCTGAAATAGCCCCATTACTCACCTGTAACTGATTTTTTCATTTGTTATACATACAAATTTGATCTCTTTGATCAGCTTACATTTCCTTTAAGAATTAAATTAGCTAATACTTAGAAACCACAAATTTATTTCTTAGAACATAATACAATTAAATTATAGAATACTCCCGATATCTGTAACAAGTTAAGGCAAAATTAGTTACCTCTATTTTTCCATCAACAAACTGGGAATACATAGGTTTTGAAAGATGAGTTTTTTCACAGTACTTTTACAACAGGTCCTTAAAATCACCTCAGTTTCATTACCTGGGGCTGGAGGCAAGTTTACCAGCGCCCAAGATGGCATCGTTGCAGGCAACACCTCCCACAACAGCCACCATTTTGAGGATCAGGATATAAACTACTCACTATTTTATGCCAACTAGAAGCACAGGATTTCCAGAATAACTGTTAAATCTCTTGACTTTTAGCATTCCCCAACCTTTCATTTTTATAGCCGTTTCTCCTCTTCAATATAAACAGTTGTGCCACTAAATTTTCAGTAAAAAGCATGCTTTCTACAGTTACGTTCAAACTTTGAAAATAAACACTATGGTGCTACCTAAAATACCCAAGTTATTATACTTTCCTAACATTTTAACCACAATATTTTCACCAGTTTAAGGAACTAAGAATCGCCAAAAGCCAGTGAATGGTCCTAGTTTACTAGCCTACATTCCTCTTCATCTTCCACCCTACCCTTTTTGATCGTTTTATTTCCCGATTTCATTAACTCTGCAACAAGAGCAAATTCTCACACTTCATTCATATGAGAAGCAAATGATGCCTGCGCAAAGAATCTAAAACTAAAGATGAGACAAAAACATTAGGAGTAAACGAATTAAATTCAATCTGAAAACGGCAGAAAGTAAGATAGGTGGGGTTGGGGAAGCAACAACCACGATTTACTCCTCCAAATGGGTGATTCTTATTTTGATATCTTCGCCGGCGAACTTAATGGCAGAACTGAAAAGAAAAACTGACCAAGTTTCCACTTATCTTTCTCCAAAGGCAAAAGGTGATAAGTCACTACGCATTTTGCTACAGCGAGCAAGCAATTCAATCTGCCAGCCAATCGCATATTTCACACCCCCTTCCAAAAATGAAAAGAAAGGAGGATGCCGGCGGGCCAGCTGCCGTCCCGGCGCTCCGGTGCCTCCGGTGCTCACGCTCCCGCCAGCCCCGCGCCGGGACCCGTCCGAGCGCGGCTGCCACAAAGCGCGGGGAAGACCTCGGCCTGGCGGAGCCGTCCTCCTCCACGATCGCCCGTGGGGATAAAGGCCAAGCGACTCCAAGAGCTCTGCGGCCCCTGCATAACGAGGCCGTCCGTTCCGAGAAGGGCACCGCCGAATAATAGCGGAGTCCTGAACTTTCCCTCCGCGGCGCCGCGCCCGGGTCAGGGCCCAGTCCCCGCCGCCCGAGTTAGCCCAAGGCGCCCCCGAGCTGGGGCGAGTCTCGCCCTCACCCCCATCCCGCCACAGCAGCTGGCTCGCCGCCTCCACCGCCCCCAGAGGGAGCTCCTGAAGCCCCAGGAGAGCGGCGGTCCCACTCCCACAAAAGCAAGTCCCCCGCCCCACGGCCGCCCGCTCCGCCTGGCCGGAGCCGGCGCGGGGCGCGCGGAGGCCGCCGACAACGTCCGGAGCCCGGACTCCTGCCCCGGCCGCTCCGCGCCGCCCGCCCGCGCCCTCCGCTGGGGGCCGCCGCCCGCCCGCCGCCGCCGGCGCCGCTCCCTCCCGCGTGCAGTGCCGCACGACCCGGCGGGGCGAGGGGCGCCGCGCGCGGCCACTCACCTCGATCTCGAAGTCGGGAAGGCGGAACGCCGTGCGAAAGAGCGAGCAGAAGTGCGCTATGGCCGGGACTTCCCACCAGGAGCGGAGCTCGCCCAGCCCGGCCGCACCGCTTTCCTCCGGGCACATCTCCCGACGGTGGCGGCGGGAACGCCAGCCCCGTGCTCGACGCGCTCTGGGCGGCCCCACGCTGCCCGCCGCCGGACTCCCGCCTCAGCTCCTCGGGCGGGGGCGGGGGCGGGGGCGGGGGCGGCTGCTCCTCCCGCTGCTGCCGCCGCTCGGCCGGAGCATGAGCTGAGGGCCGACGGGCGCGGGGGGCGGCGGCTCGCGCTCGGTCACTGAGGCGGCGGCTGCTCCCGCGGTCCGCGGGCTCCGCGCCTTCGCCCCATCCCGCGGCTGCGGCTGCGGCTGCGGCTGCGGCCGTGCCTGCGGCCGCCCCCAGCCCCGTACAATGTAATCATCGCCCGGCCAGCAAAAACAGATGGGGCTGGGGGCGGGGAGAGGGCCGAGCGAGGGCCGGGGGAGGGGCCGCCACGAGGAGGGGGCGGGGCTGCCCACCACAACAACAACCGGGCGAACAGCTGCACGGGAAGAGGGGGGAGGGGCGGGGAAGTGAGCTCCCCGAGAAAGAAATGTAAGTAGAAGGGGGCGGGGGCCACCCTCTGAACTGCTCTGAGATGCGCTCCGCTTGTCTGGGGCTCAGGAGTTTAGTGACTTTGACGAATAAGGACAACAAGGGTCTCTTTCCCACCCCCAACTTGTCCTTAGTGGTTACATCCTTTTAAAGGGCCCGCCGGGTGGTTCTTTCTGAGGCTAGGTCCCGAAAGACGCACGTGGAGGTCAGATGTTATTTGTGCTGATGGTGATATGGAGAACCAGTGGACTGTGCTCAGCAGATATCTAAGGCCTAGACGAATTAAGTGTTCTCCACGTGTTATTTAACACTTTTATTCCATACAAGAAACTCTAAGGAGCTGGCTTTCTCCAAGGGAAGAAGGTGGAAGGGGCTGATTAAGGTGGAACTCAGTAGTATGGAGGCTGCGGGAAGGGTTGGGTAGGGGAAGCACCAATCATCGGAGGTGTGGAAAGAGCGACCCCCTCCCATCATCCCCGGAAACCGCCCTAAAGAAGACAACCTTTAAAAAAAAAAAAAAAAAAATTGCGCTTGGAGTCCTGCAGCTTTTCTGCCGCCACAGTGTAATAAGAAAGGTGGGGAGTGGGAAAAGGGAGATAATCTGAGGAGGCTAAAAGAAGACGAGGAGAAAGAAGTTGAGGCCTCCACTTCAGAAATGTTACATTCTACAGTACGTTAGAATTCTAAGCTTGGCGGTGGGAGGGGGGAAAAGGAAGGGGAAATCACCTCCAAAACTGACCAGAAATTTGGAAAAACTACAATGAATGCCCAGATATTTGTACTGATCACTGCAATTTCGTATGTATTACGTTCTACTCAAATCTCAAAGGACCTCTCAAACAGGAAGCACTGCTCCTGATGCTTCTCCCAGATTAATCAAGTACTTATTGAGTGATAGGTACAATCACAAAGTGTATGGTGGTGAAATCAAAGATCTTCTACCTTTAAGCAATGTAAAGTTTGGAGAGAATGGCAAACATTATGAACATTATGTGATAGATTTTTGGAGTCTGGGTACTTCTCTCCCACCTTTCCCTCTCTTTATTCTGGTAGTTTTAATAACCTGTTTTGTTTTTATAAGGCAGCATTTAAAAAAAATACAACTTCATAAAGAAAATGTATATTTCAGTTTATCTTTTATGAATCAACTACTTCAAAATACTTCATCTTCTAATATCCTTCCACCCTCACGCCACCTCTGCATAGAAACAGCCCCAAGGTTTGTAGTTTTGCTCTTTTATTACCTGGAACTATTAATTATTTAAAATGCATCCTCAAATTCTACCATATATTTTAAAGAGCAGAGGGTACATTTTGGTGTGTTTCTAAAGCACAGCTGCTATGTAGATATTCTATTAATATACAAGATGTAAAAGGATGACAAGCCACTGTGGAATTAATCACATAACCTGAATTGGACATTTTCCCCTGTTTTTCTTCATTTCCTCACATATCAGTTTGACTTTCCACACTTGCCTCTCTTTTATTAAAGGATTACTGCTTTCCTTTAACATTTGTTTTGAATCCATTATATCCTGACTGTCCTTTCCCCACCTTCTTTTTCCTGGTTTTCCTCTGTCTTTTCATTCTTGCCTTTATCTTTTATCATTTAACCTTTTACACTAGCCAGCTTTGTAATAGTGCCTCGAACAGTTAACAATTCTAGAAAGCATGTTTTGGTTACTCTAGTATGATTGAATGCTGGTTACAATCCTCCCACCTCCACTTGAAGGCTATTCTGTTGTCCTCTTCCCTCCTCCAAAATCCTATAAATCAGCGATTTTCAATCTTTTACATCCCATAGCACACATAAACTAATTACTAAATTCTTCGGAAAACAAGAAATACATTTTTTGCCTATCTGACAAAAAAATATTTAATTTTGATTTATTTACAAAAATAATAGTAATAGTAATTACCTACCCTTTTTGCTCAAAGTGACTTTTAAAAAATCAGGTGTCTAGCCCTGGCTGGTTTGGCATAGTGCAGTGGTCGGCAAACTGTGGCTCAAAGGCCACATGAGGCTTTTTGGCCCCTTGAGTATGGCTCTTCCACAAAATACCACGTGCAGACACACAAATACAGTACGATCGACACTTCGTGGTCCATGCACAGAAGCTCCCAAAAGAAATTTCAATTGTTGTACTGTTGATATTTGGCTCTGTTGACTAATGAGTTTGCAGACCACTGGCTTATGGATAGAGTGTTGGCCTGTGGACCGAAAGGTCCCGGGTGGGCCCTGGTTAGGGTGCATGCAGGAGGCAACCAGTCCATGTGTTTCACATTGATGTTTCTGTCTGTCTCTCTCTTCCACTCTCAAAATCAATGGGAAAAGTGTCCTTGGATGAGGGTTAAAAAAATTTTTTTTAAATAATAATAAAAATTAGGTGTCTATACTTGTATAAAAGGATTTGTGGTACCAAGAATTAACCAATCATATGCAACTTTATTATGTGATGTGACCAATAAGATGCAACTCTATTATATGACCTACTAGGGGCCCAGTGCACAAATTCATGCACCTTGAAAGGAACTGTGGGCTGAGAGGCTGCGGTAGGCACAGTGGTAGGTTTTGGCCAATTCTCCATGCCCCTGCCAGCCCCTACCACCACAGCTCCCAGTCCCCTGTCTGCCAGCAGCCCCACTCCCGCTGCCATTGCTCCCACAGACTGGTGGTGCTGGCCCCACACTCACCCACTGACAGCATAGAACAATTGGGGCCAGCACCAGCAGCAGGTGTGAGCAGAGCCAGTGCTATCAGTGAGTGTGAGCCGTGGCTGCTACCCCGATCACTCCTCAGGAGCAGTGGGAGATGGAGAAGCCCTCAGGGGCAATGAGGACCAGCAGCCACCACTCACACCCATCAATGGTGCCAAGTGATCAGGGCTGGTGCTGGGCACCAGCAGCAGGTATGAGTGGTGGTGCTAGCTGCAGGTAGGAGTGGGACCAGCGCTGGCAGTGGGTGCAAGTGCCTGGTGGGACCATGGCATGTGGGAGCAAAGAATTTTCAGTAACTACCAGAGGCTTTCCCTGATGACAGTGAGCTGCACCCCACCTTGGTCTGGTGCTCCCACTCACCTCCACCATCCCACCAAGGCCAATGCCCACCATGTTCCGCACACACCCTCTTGTGGTCAGCACATGTCATAGCGACCAGTTCCAGGTATTCTGCTGTTTGGTCTATTTGCATATTAGCCTTTTATTATATAGGGTATACAATAAAAATATCCTATATAATAGGCTTATGGCTCAAGACAGGACATTAACAACAGACAACTATCATTGTGTTGGCTGTTGTCATTTTCATGACAATCTAAGGGATAAGAGGTGAGTGCCTATGTAGTCAGGTATAGCATGTTTTAAGAATTCTTCTGGCACACCAGAGTGCCTCTGTACTGCTGTAAATCAACAAATCTGTTTTGGAACTGGAAGTGCCCCACACCCCGATCCCCTGGTGGTGGTCACAGACTTCTCTCTGTCTCTTCCTGTGCACCTTCTTCCCCTGTGAGTGATTTGCCTTCTATTTTTTTCTTCTAAGGGCCACTTCTCAGTGTTCATATGGATAGGCACATCAACTTGAACTTTTTCTTTCTATATATCTCTAACTCTGGTTCAGTTTCTATAGTTTTTGCTTGGTTTCCTCACTGTGCTCTCCACTCATCCCAGCTTTCATCCACAGTCTGGAACTAATTCTGGTTCGAGCAGCTAATGAGTGTTACATGTCTTGGGTCTGGCTGAAAGTGTGGCCTCCCATGTTCCCTGAGTTTGGGTTCTAACTAGAATCTCACAATTTGACCCCTGCCTCTGCCTCTATTGGAACTGATCCTGAATCTTTGACCCTGCTTTGAACATTTGTCCCATCTTTCCCTTGGGACTTAACAGCTTTAGATCTCTTTTCTGACTGTTTCTGGCCTAATCTCCTGGAATCTAGATTACTGACCCCTGTACCTAGATGCTAGACACTTACCCCTGCCCCCTTCCTTCCTTTGATTGAAACTGGTGTCTCACTCCTAGTTTTTTCCAGGTTGGCCAATTTTTTCACCCTCTAAACATTAGTTTTATCATATTCCTTAAAAACATACACAGCTCTTCCTTTCTTCCCTTTCTCTCTCTTGCTTCTTTTCTGTTTGTGAACTACTGCCACTGAAATTGCCATGAAGCAGTTATCTCTTTCTGGTCTTAGGAGTCCATGTCAGCCACAACAGATTGAAAGGTTGGGAACAGGTAGCCCAAGAGCAAGGACATCTACCTAAGGCTGTTGAGCAAGCAGTACAGGTTTATGACCATATGAACCAATTCCATGTTCAACCATGTGGTGCTGAGGAAGTTATTCATAAGTAGCACCACCCAATCACCTCTGTTTCTTCCCCTGATGATCTGAAGAATGAAGCTTCCTGGCCAGGATGGCAAAACCACTGTGGTTGTAGGGGTGATAACCCAGGATATCTGTGTACAGGAGATGCTCAAACTGAAGATGTGTGCACAGTGTGTGAGC